CACACACACACACGTCGTCACACACACACACACAGACACACACACACACACACACACAAACACACATGCACACACACACACACACATATGCTATGAACATGACTGTCTGTTGAACTTTGGCCAACACTCACTCACCAGAACTCCCGTGCACGCCCATACAAGCACAGAAAAAGGGGGAGAGGTACTGGAGTGTCCCACCGCCCAGAAGAAGAAACTCAACGGAAGACTCAGAGAAGTGAAGTGACAGAATACGTAATTCAGTGAATTCTCTCCAAAGCAATCATTCATAGATAACAACCGAGTGATTGCAAGATTCACAACCAGAAAGCAATGGAGAGATGACAACTCAAACACAGTATTAACACTGTTTATTGAACTCAGAGCATCGTTCAACTAAAATAACCTCAGAAGTTCAGAACCCTGTTGCGCTACCCTAAAAGGGGTAGCGCCTCAACCCCAACACCCTGAACAGCTAAAAACAGCAACGAAAGTTACGAAACCGCAGCCTCCCCAACACCCCAGGTAACACGCAGCGGGCCAGCGGCCCAGCGCCACCCTGACATCCAACTCAGTGGCCTGCGCGAAAGTGGAATGGGCTCCCAGAGCCAATCGGCGATCGCCACTTAGATGATGAAGTAGAAGCTCACCGCCAACAGTACCTGATGAAGATGAAGTCCAGACGATGATAATCTCTGAGAAGATGTAGCTATGGCTGGATCGCCACACGGAGTCCGGGAGCCCGGGACCCTACTCCTGAGGAGAGTCAGCACTGACTCAGCAGTGCAGCACGTACTCCAACGCATCAGACCTCTGGTGTCCACATCCTATCTATAATCTACACATAGCCTAGACCGACCTAGACCACATTGACTGACCAGTTTTGGCCTCTAGGGCCTAACCCTACCCGACTATAGGCTATATGACCGTATATCAGCATAGGCCCGTAGGGCCTGTCTGTCCAGGGGTAGCCCGGGTCTGCTATTCGCAGTTTGGGTATTAGTAGCCTGTAGCCTGTAGGGAAAATGAAGTTGGTACTGGACCCATATATCTATATTTACATATATGATATATATACCTCGCGAATTTTCCATACAGGCCTGGTAGAGACTCTAGGGCCTTTATTGGCCCTCTAGGGCCTAACCCTACCCGGCTATAGGCTATAGGACCGTCTATCAGCATAGGCTCGTAGGGCCTGTCTGTCCTAGGGGTAGCCCGGGTCTGCTATTCGCAGTTTGGGTAGCAGTATACTGTAGCCTGTAGGGAAAATGAAGTTGGTACTGGGCCCTAATATCTATATTTACATATATGATATATGTACCTCACGAATTTTCCATACAGGCGGGTATCTCGGTCAGTCCTTTGCCAAACAAAGAATGATAGAGAGCAGTGAACATTGAACACTCTCTCTCTCTCTCTCTCTCTCTCTCTCTCTCTCTCTCTCTCTCTCTCTCTCTCTCTCTCTTTGCGCCTCCATTCCGCGCAACAGAGAACGAGCTCGCGCCCGTGGATCAATAGGCGGCAAATGTGCCAATGGGGTGCAATGACCTTCCGGGCCAGGTCTAGTCCTCATCCTTACGCGACGACCTCCGCCATCGTCTTTGTCCGCTGTCCGGATCCTCGGGACGCAATTGGAGTCATCAGGGTCGTCATCGCCTGTGGTCTCACCACCCTCAGCGGTTGTGGAGCTGTCATCGTGGATGATCATTGTGCCACCTCGTCTCTTCTCACCTCGTCCTGATTCGTCCACTCTGTCACCTCCGTCCACCCCGCCCCGTCCATCTGCAGCAGCTGGCATCTGTCCGGTCTTATCACGGTTGCGGAAAAAAGGATGCGGGCGGCGCCGGTGATACGGAATCGACACACCTGTTCCCTTCTTCCTCGTCCGTGATAGCCTCGCAGTAGCCGTCCTGGTGTCATGGACATCGGTCGTCTTGGCCCGTATAGGCCTCTCATACTACTCCTCGTAAGCTCTCATGGAATCGTGACAAGTGCCATCGACGTTGCCGATCAATCTCGCCCCCGCGGGCACATCCGCCGGTCCGCATGATGATGCATGTCCGATATCGCACGCCCTCCGATCCATGGCCGCACCGTCGTAGAAAGACCTCGTCGGCAATGCGCTCTGCGAGGCCTGCCCGTGGGCGATTTGGTCAGCGGCAGGGGAGGGTGACGGTGGTGGACGCATGATGTCACGCATCCCCATCATATGCGGTTGAGGCTCATTTATGTGCGTGTCTCCAACGTCGTGTGCGGTTGATGACCCTATGCGCTCGATGCCCTCCCCGAAGGACCGTGTAGCGTCTGCGCCGCCCACACTCCCGCCCCGCCTCCTCCAACGTCGTGTGCGGTCGATGACCCTATGTGCTCGATGCCTTCCCCGATGGACCGTGCAGTGTTTGCGCTCCCTGGCTGTGCCGTATCATGGGCCACGCCCTCGTCCGAGCAGATAACTCCGGGATGCCTTGCCTCTAAAGTCTCCGTCGAGCCTCGATGTGGCTCTCGTTGCTCGCCCTCGTCCGGTGGACGGACCGATGACACGCCGTCCGACAACTGATGCGAACCATGATCCCCCTGCGCCACAAAATCTCCAGACGCTGCCTCTAGTGAACCTCCCAGACTACGTTGCGCTGCGACGGGCGGTCCGCCACGACGGTTTCGTGCCACCTCCTCCGCCAACCCCTGCTCCACTGCCCACGGTGCACCGACATGAAAAATGGCGGGAGTGTCGGACTCTAAAGGATGCAGTTACGTGTCCCCGCCGAACTCGTCGAACCCTCTGTTGCGACGCTCGTCGTCTCATCTAGCAGGCTCCGGTGGTGGCACAACCGCCAAAGTGGGAGATATCAATAGTGACACATCGGGCAGTGATGCCAAGGCGGAATCCATATTCAATAACTCGTCGGTGCGCGGAAGACTGTCGGGCGGGCAGTCGAGGCCGATGTGGTGACCCGTCGGAGGACGTTCGTCCTCCCCGTCCTGTCCAGAAGTGGGAGTAGGTGCAACCTCTTCATCTTCTAGAACGCCGTCACTCGTGTGAGGAGGCGGCTCACGTCGTGCCTCGCCGTCCTCCAAACCCGCTCCTGTGGAGTGGACTAGGCCGCCTGTTGTAGTGCACTGAGTCTGCGCCTGGCGGAGTGTACCGTGTCCTCCAAAGTCCGTCTCCTCCTCAGTGCCAACAACCGGCGCAGGCGACCGTGGATGAGTGATCCCGAAACTAGTATCCTCCTCCGTCACCATCGCATCGGTCACCGAGGCTTGCGCCTCTGCGTGAACCTGGTCAAGCCGTGTCTCGTTGGAAGGATCTCCCATCTCGTCCTCTGACACGACAACCGGGTCCTGCCGCATGACACGTGCCCCCATGTCGATCGCAATGTGGCCACGACGTTTGCACACACGAGACGCAATACTGTCATCCCGTCTGCCCCCACGTCGCAACCGCTGCTAAATGATCCGACCACCGGGCAGAAGATCGTCGTCCACACGCTCCTCAACCCTGTCGCCACAGCACCCGCTCCCTC